TGGAACAGTTCATTGTTGGAGCTGAGCTGAATGAGAGAGAGAGAGATGCAGAGCGTGTGCAGAGTAGGGGACGCGAGGAACAGCAGGGCTTGCAAAATTTCAAAATCGCTGGTTGCCCTTCGGGCAGACATTCTTCAGATTTTGGTAGCCCGAATAAAAAAAATAAAAAGACATCGGCTGAACTTCACTGCGGACAAATCAGCATGATTAAAAACTTCAGTGATCGCTTTTTTTTTTTTTAAAAAAAAATTTAAAGAGTTTGGGGGTGAAGGGTTTTGCAGAGACAGTTATTTTGAGATAATTTTGTGTGTATGTGTTCACTTCATTCAGATGCAAGGATACGCGAAAGAGAAATCAATTCTGTGTATGCGCATTGTCTGAAACGCGGCTCTCTGTGCATGCTTTGAATGAGTGCGCGCAGCTCCGAATGCGCGTGAATGGTTTAAAAACCCACGGCTCGGATCATATTGCATTATCATCAGATTTTGAGTAACCGATCGGGTCATTTTGCAGATGAGCAAAAAAAATATGGTTCTTTATTATTTAAATAACAGAATACTTCTTTGATACCACATCAAAAACTAATAGCATATAGGGATGTAACGATTCACTCAACACACGATACAATGCGATTCACGATACTGATTTCACAACTGAATGTTTAAATCGGCAAGACTTAGAAACACGTGCAAACGACCAACTACGATCCGTTTTACCCCTACAAGCTAGTGAACAACGCAAATCAAGTTAGGAATTTTTTATCACTGTTCAAGATAGCCCGTCGGGCAGGGTGGTGAAACATTGTGGTAGCCCGACTAGAAAACACAATAGCCCCCGGACGTCGGGCTAGCAATTTTGTGAGCCCTGAACAGTATTAAGAAGCGCTGCTTTAGAACATTGATTTTGAAACTTGTGAATCCATTAGAATCATTAGAAGACAGAATCGCGATTCATATATGAATAGATTTTTACGTGCACCTAGTTTTCTCTTCCTCTTCTCTAAAGCATCGCAATATGGCCTTGCCCCCTTTGCTGCCTTTTCCCGAGGGCAGGGTTTATCTGGGTTTGTTACGTCACGAACCCGGGAAGTAACTTGTTGTAGTCCCTACCAGCCGTTTTTGTAGGCATTAAACTGCCAGAATTATAAAAGATATCTCCGTTTGTATTGAACTTTCAGCTTCATAACTTTGCAGATATTGTTTATGCTCAAACAGCAACATTACACACTAACGTTAAAAAAGTTAAATCGCAATCAACCACCCCTTTAATGATTAAATTAAAGAGTTCTCTTAATTTAAACCAACAGCTGCTGTCTGTATTTCTACCTTTACTAGTCTCCAGCCTTTGGTTGCTGTAACTACCACAAGACAACCTTTACAGAATATCCCATATAAACTAAGGACTTAGGTGAACTGTGTGATATTATTCAGTACTATGTGCTCATAAAGTCGTGGTAATTGATTAAATATTATGTAGCGTCTGGACCAATCAAAAACACAATTTTTCATTTGATTTAACAAATCTAAATATGAATAATTAATTATAACTAGTTATGATTAATTATTCATATTTCCCCATGAGCTGATTCGCTACAATTATTATTATGTGGTCTGCAATAAATTGTAACAATGCAAAGCATCTTATCTGCCGCTCCTCTCAGAAATAGATGAATTATACACGTCACAAGATTTGGAAAATGTAAAAGTGATCCCTTGTACCCTCTCTTTATCATATTTTTGATAATTCTCATAAATTCGCAAAGATCCAAAGACTAACATTAGAAAAAGGTTAGGCCTGTCACGCACTTCCAAATGACAACAAACTTTTAATTTTTAAGAATATTTGGATAATGGAAATTAAGTATCAAACTATTAGATACCTTCAAAAACGTGAATAAATAGTAAATAAACATTTTCTAACAAAGCTGCAAAAGACACAGGCGCAAGTGGAATGTACAAAACATGGTGACATTAATTTTTAAGTAAATATAATGAGCGATATAGTGCGTCACCAAAAATTATTGAGGTCATGTACATATATTGCGCGATAAGTCGATATATTGATTATTGCGACAGGCCTAAAAAAGGTTTAACTTCGCACAGGGCAGGAGGTAAGATTGGTCAGCTTTGCTTAGCAGAAGGTCAGTTCACTACATTCTTGTCTTATACACAGTTTGTGTGTGTTCAACAAATAGCAAGACTTGTGAGAGATGTCAGATGTCAGAATACTTCAGCATTGGGTGAGAGATTCCACAGAGACCACAAAACACACACACATCCATGTGAAACCTATTAGACAATAATATGCAGGGCGTTAGTCTGGCTGACTGTGTGTGGGAGAAGGAAATGAGCTAGTTAATTCAAAACAGTTTTCCCACTCAGCACTTAAAACATCATGGAAACTCTTCACTGATTACAGGCACAGATTAACTAGCAGCAAAAGTTAATTTACACTCGCCTTCAGTCACACACACACACACACACACACTTAACCCTAAACCTACTTTTAAACCCTAACCTCAAATTAGGGCTGGACAATAATTCAATATCAATATGTATCGCGATATTATTTTTTTCAATAACGGTGATATGATTTTTAAACACATTTCCGATATTTCGATATACATTACCAGTTTCCCATACAT